CCTGAACTCTGGGCCTGGGCGCTGTCCCTCAGCTCTTCAGCTCAAGGCTAGCGCTCTACCACTTGAGCCACAGTGCCACTTCTGGCTTTTTCTGCTTATGTGGTGCTGAAAAACCAAACCCAGGGCCTCATGCATGCAAGGTAAGCACTCTACCACTGAGCCACCTTCCCAGCCCTGGAACACTTTCTTAAAAAGAGAACGCATGTTGTAATTGGTGGAACAGTGGTCTTGTATAGAAAACAAGAGTCTTAAACCCCTAAACCCCACAAAAAAAGGACCACAAATGGTTCTCACTATAAGCAGAGCAACAACGAAGCAACAGCAAAAAATAAAGGCTTGTTGACCTCTGGGCACTGGGTATGTTTAGGTTCAAGTCCAGCATGTGCCTTAGACTAACCAGTGACCTGAGAGTCACTTGCGAGGTGGGGCAGCCAAGATGGAGATATCAGTGAGGCCTTGATAGGGATGTCAGTGTGTGATGGAGGTGTCAGTGTGTGATGGAGGTGTCAGTGTGTGATGGAGATGTCGGTGTGTGATGGAGATGTCGGTGTGTGATGGAGATGTTGGTGTGTGATGGAGATGTCAGTGTGTGATGGAGATGTCAGTGTGTGATGGAGATGTCGGTGTGTGATGGAGATGTCGGTGTGTGATGGAGGTGTCAGTGTGTGATGGAGATGACAGTGTGTGATGGAGGTGTCAGTGTGTGATGGAGGTGTCAGTGTGTGATGGAGGTGTCAGTGTGTGATGGAGGTGTCAGTGTGTGATGGAGATGACAGTGTGTGATGGAGATGATAGTGTGTGATGGAGATGTCAGTGTGTGATGGAGATGTCAGTGTGTGATGGAGGTGTCAGTGTGTGATGGAGGTGTCAGTGTGTGATGGAGGTGTCAGTGTGTGATGGAGATGTCGGTGTGTGATGGAGATGACGGTGTGTGATGGAGGTGTCAGTGTGTGATGGAGGTGTCGGTGTGTGATGGAGATGACAGTGTGTGATGGAGATGACAGTGTGTGATGGAGATGTCGGTGTGTGATGGAGATGTCAGTGTGTGATGGAGATGACGGTGTGTGATGGAGATGACGGTGTGTGATGGAGATGACAGTGTGTGATGGAGGTGTCAGTGTGTGATGGAGATGACAGTGTGTGATGGAGATGACAGTGTGTGATGGAGATGACAGTGTGTGATGGAGGTGTCAGTGTGTGATGGAGTTGACAGTGTATGATCGAGATGTCAGTGTGTGATGGAGTTTGCATTGATTCCCTCTGCCCTCCAGTGTTTTCTCTGAAAGCATTCATGTGATGTAGTAACATTGGGAACTATGGATTTCAGCTGCAGCACTCAGCGCAGTTACAGGTAATTTTTCACAAGCATAATGACTTAGTTCAGGACTACTTTATGGCTGTATGTCTCTTAACTATGCATCTAGAAATATGTTAGAGAATCCCCTTTCTCCTACAGTTTTCTTTTTCTTTTCTTTTCTTTTTTTGGTTGGTCGTGGGGCTTGAACTCTGGGCCTGAGCACTGTCCCTCAAATCTTCAGCTCAAGGGTAGTGCTCTATCCCTTGAGCGACAGTGCCACTTCTGGCCTTCTGGTGGTTAATTGGAGATAAGAATTTCATGTCTTTCCTGCCTTGGCTGCCCTTGAACCACAATCCTCAGATCTCAGACTCCTGAGTAGCTAGGGTTACAGGCATGAGCCACTGGTGCCTGGCTAGTTTTCTTTTTCTTGGGTTCAGTTATCCACAATTAAGTGTACTCTGAAAATATTGTATAGAAAGTCTTAGAAATACACAAAAAGACCACATTCACGAAACTATTTCTTTTTATTTTTTTTTGTCGGCCGTGGGGTTTGAACTCTGGGCCTGGGCGCTGTCCCTCAGCTCTTCAGCTCAAGGCAAGCACTCTACCACTTGAGCTACTGCGCCACTTCCAGTTTTCTGGTGGTTTATTGGAGATAGGAGTCTCATGGTCTCTCCTGCCCGGGCTGGCTTTGAACC